ACGGCCTTTTTGCGGAGCCGCTATGTCACTCGCTTGGCTCGCAACACGAAGCACGTCGCATCTGTGGATACAGTTTTCTAAACCGGGCAGTATGGGCCCCTTCCGCAGAGCTATTGTATAGCTAGGTCGCAATAGCTCTTGGTTTCAAAGCCTCAGCCACCTTTGATTCGACTACTTTGGAAGTGGAAGGCGAAACCACGTTGCGTCTCGCTAATCACCTCTGAAGATCATATGGTCGGTCTACTCTTCACCGATCGATTATGCGCTTGCGACACTGGAACGCATTGAGATGCCCCGGGTTTTAGATACATGATTGCCTTGCGCATAACGCAGGTGGTTTTCGCCGATTTTTTCCCAAGGATTGATGAATCGCCTTCAGCTTTGGTTCTAGAGACCATGTCTTACATGGCGCGTCTCTTCATCAACATTCGTAACTCGATCAGCTCCTTGATGATCTTGTATCAGTAAACACACCGGGTCTTTATTCGCCGTGACGTCGCAAATTATTCCGAGCCTTGTTCTAGAAGTAACTTAGGCAGACAAACAGGGCCGCCAACGCAGTCCCCTTTTAATAAGATGCTGACAGGACCACCAAAAATATGCCCGAGAAAACATATTGGCAAACCTACGCTCCACTGCCAATAGTAGGCATCTCCGGCAGCAGCAAATTTTGCTGAAAGTGGCTCTTTCGTATCCTCTCTACCCTTAAGCCCATCCGCTCTCTCATCCGTCAATTTCCCTTGACCGAGGAGGAGGAAAGATATCCGCACGTAAGAACCATCTACGATCTGTGACTGAAATGAGAATGGAATGCAAGAGTTGTTAAGGCGGGCGCTTTGCTCCCCGTACTGCGTATCCCTGACTCAGGGGGTAATTGTTTACAAGGTTGAACACTACTCGCTTTTGAGAAGCGAAAGCAAATGATACTGAATCATGCTATTGACATTTGATGAAACTTACCTGCAACAGTAGACCACGGTCAATTACAGTTGATCCCTCAAACGATAGAATTGATCACAGAGCTGAAGAACATAATTCAGTATCTAAATGATAATTACGGTAGAAAAGCGGTGGACAAGTCAGCGGCTACAAAAGCCAGGAGCAGAAAAGCAATATGGAGTATGTCTAAAGCTTGTAATAGTAATTTTCGTTAGGGCTTGTAGCCTTTTAGACGCACTCGAAAGTGACCAGCTTGACACGCCGGTGTGTTATCCATTCCTTCAACTCCTAATAGCTGATCTTATCATGATGGTGGGCGCAGATGCACTCGCCTGGAACTCACTCGTTATTGGCAGAATATCCCCTTTTCACTGTTTATCATGATGCAAATCTGGATTTCATTGAATAGGTCTGCCGCATATGTCGGCATTTGTCAGGGGAAAGAGATGATCTTGTTCTGATGCGTCACTTTTCTCAACTGCCGTGAGTGACCGTATCGCCGTTGGGTTCGGTGTAGAGTGGTATTGGCGTCGCCGAATCAGACTAGAGCAACCTATCGATTTACACGGCCACTTAATTATTCTTTAGTGCCTGCTGTCAGGAATTCTCGCAGGCTACTCAGCTGTAACAAACGCGTAGATTGGGTATCTCAGCTGATGTTCGGACCTCAGGCCTGCACGTAGGCGTTGCTCGCCGATAGGCATGTACATGGATGTATTGAATCCGTTGTAGATGTAACTGTCAATTCTCTAAAATAATTCCGTCGGCCAATTCTTGTAAAAAGTCCATACTGGGTCCAATTGAGCCCTATCAAAAGATTGATATCATGCATATTTCGTGCATGTCAGCCTTGCTATATGATGCTTGCCTTGTCAAATAATATCTACAAGTATGTTATTTTTAATGCCAACTGCCCTCACCGCCATTTTCGTTTATGCATCCCCTGAAGGGATTAGTCCCAAACCCAGTATCTCAATATGATAGCTCGAAATGTTACGTAGCAATTGACTATTCACTATTCTTCAATAAGTTTCAGCGAAATGTTCAAGGGGCAGCTCGGCTAGGGCTTTTCAAGCATATATCACGGGCATGGCCGCCATATATCCGACTTGGATCAGGCTCGTATCGCATCTATCTCTGATACTTGCCAAGAGTAATGCGTCTCAGATTTGATGCTTATATTTCTTCTTAAAAATGCATTGACTCTGACAGCGTCAGATTACTACGTGCCGACCGGAATGGCTCCCGCAACAATTCCAAGCCAAGTTGCTAGACTGGCCAGCAATTTACATGAGAGACATAATGCTCTCTTAACGGCTTAGATGACTGAGGAACCTGCAGCACACATTATAAACACTCATATACCCTCTGTTTCCTATTTTTGGCTAACTCCAGTAGATGGTGACGAAGGCCGGCCGTGGGAGGAGCCAGAGTCCCTCGTCTGAGTTCCTCGTCACAGCACATAGAGATCAGCTTGAGGGTAAAAGGGCTTGTTATTCATCTCTAGAGCTAGGATACAAGAACTGTTATGTATCTCCGGTATACATGAGATTTCTTCTCCCTTTTGGGGATTAGGCAGGCGTTCCCCAATATCCAGCGTCCCAACATCGGATAAGAATCCAAGTCCATCATTTCAACATACTCGTATAATTGACGCCCCAACGACATTCTTTGCTGATTTTACCTTTTTTCACAATTTTGGAAGCTCTTCTTTCTGCTTTTCTAATCCGTGGCGAAACGTGAAGAACCTCGCCGCAGCACCATATCGCGTATTACTGTATCTGATGGCTTCGGGGATCAAGATTCAATGACAGTATTACTCGCGCACCATTCATCGTTTGATAAACATCCAAAAAAAAGGCCAAAAATATTAAATAAATGCCTAATTAAGATGTCTTTATCTATGAGAGTGTTTAGCTAGATGATGTATGTGGAGCTGCTAAGCTCTCGCGCAAAGTTCGATACCAGCTCTCGGGAATGAAAAGGGGGGGAAAAACTTATAAAGTCTCTATGAATCGATACTTATCATATTCTCTAACAATTCCTAAAATGAGGTAGTATCGCATGTTTGTATGACTCACTTGCAAAAGATTTACCTTTTTCTTTCCCCATTACACATTCCATTTTTAAGTTGGATCGCATATGTAAAGATCTGACACATGGCATTTCGTAATTTTCTGAACATACAAACGTCTGCCTATAAACCAGATATTAGACCATGGCATTATGAAACTATCATCATGCAGCCGCCGCTCATAAGAAATGAATCATACCCAAGTTCCATAATCGGTTAACGTGACTAGTACCAGAACCATCGACATGGCCAACCACAGGACACAAAGATACACACGTATTAAGAGGAGGACACGCTACAACTTGACGATGAATCCCTATTACGACTTTAAGGCCTCCAAGTATAGCCTAGAAGCTACTAGTAGTTGTCACACAACGTTTATGCCACAAGAGGGACATCTCTCTCGCTATATATATGTGCGCGTGTATAGGTATATACTCTATATATGCAGGATCTTTATCTTCCTATAAAGATGGCGATCCTCTTACAGTTGGTCTAGAATGAGAAGCAGCTATTCTCCGTAGTCATTCTATTTTTGGCCACTTTAGCATATAATATACCACAACTTCAACGGCAGATTGGGGGGTAAGTTATAAATTCCTCAGATGCTACCATTTCCAAAGCGAAAACTTGCCCTTCTTTTGTGTGCAGAAGAAGCGACAAATCTAATGATCCACTTATAGCTTGAATGGCAGCTGGCCTACATAAATCAACCTTTTAGTATAAAATAACCATCTCGAACATTATTCCGCACACGTTAGAATATCATGAAAACACATATATAAGGTGTGTGATATAATGATCACATCGACTGCGCAAATGCTATTGCATCACTGAATTCCAAGCATAGCATCATTAATAGATCCCAAACGTCTTACTGTTACATACAGCTTTCTCAATTATCTGATCCCTCCAAAGCCTTCAAATCCTCCCGCGGTGCAAATCCTCATCATTCCACCCTCTCATCCAATTACCTCATGCAGCCCAACTCTCCAATCACAACCGCCAATCCCTACCCTGGAAAAAAACATATACGGTTTTTTAAGCTCATTATAATTCTCCCTACACGCAAGGCCATGATCATATAATATGTGATATATTGCCTACTAGCGCTTGACAGCTGTCAAAAATAAAGCCTTCTCCATCAATGCGCTGGCTAGCTGGCTACGTGTTTGATGATTCACTTCCATCACGTATGCGAAAAAGAAGAAGAAACGAAAATGCGCTGTCAGGTCCCCAATTTCTGACCACCTGCAAGCGCTGGCTACATGTACATATATAGCGTCATAGCTCTCGTGGCGTGTGTCAGCCAGCATATATATATGGGCTGCTGTCGTGTTTGATACTGGTACTAAAATGCTATAGTGAGCAGAAGAAATTATATCACTCTACCAACACTGATTTTCACTTTTTACTGTGTAAAATATTTGTTCACGCTGATGGAGGTTATTACATCATGAAGGCGGCAGCGCTCGTAAGAATGGGCGCTGTTCGTTTCGCTACTGCTTACTCCGTATGGGGATATTTTCTCTTTTGTATGTGACATGTCTCAGTTTCATCCCCAAATGGCCCCATTGTGGCATTAATGTGACAGATCGCATCTCGGTTATAGAGCGTCGGATCTACCAAGGTACGTTTGATAAGCCACCTCTGTACGCCGCCGCCATGTGAACAAATGGCTGAGGGAATTGAGTCAACGCGGCATTTAATCAAGCACACTTTGACAAGCTGTATCGTTTCGATGATGCCTGGCCTGGGTATATGACCCCGGGCGGATCTTTCCAGGGCCAGGGGTCGAATGAGGTGGAAACGCATCCGTAGCTGAGCTTTTGCCTGCCGCGATATTTCTCCGTCGATCGTACAGTACAGTGCTTTGCATGCAAGCAGAAAGAAGCTGGGCCAGACCCCTCTCACGCTACGCAGAGTTTTTCCCGTCACTATCAAAAGAGGTATATCCGCTAACTCATTCTCCCTCGCAGCGTCATGTATGGCTCAAATGGCACCACGTAGGGTCGCAGCCGGCATCACATGCATTGTCGCTATGCGACTTAGAGACACGAACGCAGGAGCCCTAACGCGATCGGAACGAAAGGCGGCTCGCTCGTTAGCACCAACAAGCCTGAGGCCCGAACATCTGCATATCCCGTGAATAAACGTGATGCGACCTTCCTCTGCGGCCACAGCTCATGTTTGATGCACGTAAACCACCTTGTTGGCCTTGGAGTACCGGTACTTCCACCCGCCGACTCCACAGTCTCACCACGGTCCGGCTGGGTGGGGATGAAGGGCTCCATATTGCTGAGCAGGTTCGCGGGAGTTCCCTGTACGGGCAAGTCTATTAAACGTGAAAAGAAGACGCGGCCGTAATCGGTCGCATGTTAAGATGATAGGAATAAAAGGCTGATATAGTATTGAAGAAGAAGTATCCGGTTCTAGTTATGAGAAAGCAAACGCTGCCGCCGGCTGGTTCCTTATTGCCCGAACCAGGCTCTCTCCCGTAGGAAAAGAGAGGAAGGAAGTGAAAGATCTCATGCTGGATGGAGAAAACAAAAGTAGAAGAAAGGATAGAAAGCGTGCCATAAAAGCCTCGCGGCGGCATGCAAGAAAAGCATCTCTGAGCACAGAACAACGTTTCCACCCACCAGCACGCAATACAAGTACACAAGCAACTGATCCAATATGAAAGGGAAAAAAGAGAGAGAACAGAGTAAGGAGAGGAAAAGGGGGGGTAAGAGAAAAAGAAGATAGAGGAACGATTAAACAAGGTAAAGAGAGAAGGGTATCACTTTTTTCTGCCTCCGTCTAATGCTCAAGCTAAACGCGCCTGAGTGTCAAAAGGCCAACCCCCGGGTACGTATTCCATCTATCCAATCCAAAAGAAATTGCTTCGCTATAGGTCTTGAAATCATATCCAAACACCAACAATAATCGGAAAAGTAATAAATCAATATCTCCTCCCGAGCCTATCTTGCAAATCAGCTTGAAGGGCACACACGCTTATAAGGGAAAACGCAAAGCCAAGCAGCCGCAATAATCGACAGAGAGAGAGGGGCAAACAAATTTTAGGGAAAAGAAAAGAAAAGAAAATTAAAAGAAAAGAAAAGAAAAGGGAATTGGTGGTAAAGACAGCTTGGCAGCTTTAACCATGTTCCGTCATTGCGTCACTATTGTCAACAGATGAATGTCGTTGATATAATTGTCTGGGAACGGCGTCAGATGCGGCCCGCGACAACTGCGTTGTCCCCAGGCGAGATGAATACTCCGAGTCGTCACTCGTGATGGGCTTGAAGAAGCCATCTACCAGTGACATGGTGCTATCGCGCCACCAGTAATGCATAACATCGCACTGCCAGCGCCACATATCCCGAATCTTCAAAGATCGGCTTGCTTGAAAGGTGGACCGTAACAGCACTGCATTGAGCGGGGACAGTCGCAGCTGGTGGAGGAGCCATCGATTCACGTAATCAGCCTTCTTCCCGCCATCACACTCTCGCATGAGGTTGTCAATTGCATACTCTTTCGACGCCAGTCTCTTCCTCACGCCCTTTTCTGGGTGGTGGTTTGGAAGTCGGATGGCTGCTTTGAGAGCCCCCAATGTAGTGAGAGGCTCATCAGCCAGAACGTGGTCTGGCTGAGAAAGCAGCTCGTTGAATTCGGCATGAGCTAGTGTTTTGCGGCGGCTCATAATCGTGTGCTCGTCATCTAGATCCAAATCCTCATACCTGATCTGCGGATCCAATGCGTATTCCATCTTGATAGACATATGCTTCTTCATGACTCCCTTGTCTTCGCATAATTTTTTGAGACCATTTACTTTAGATTCTAGGCTGGTCATGATATCATTCATCCGCTGTTCTTCGGAAGGATATTCGTCAAAGAATTCCTTCATCTCCTGCTCGTCTGAGGCTTTCTGCTTGGTAGTCTTTTTCAACTGCTGCTCCTCTTCGTATTGTTGTTTAGTGGAGAGGAGGTCTGCGTATTCGTCCCGAGCGTTGCCCAGGTATCCCACAGTCGACGTCAAGTCCACATATAGAGGATGCGATTCCTCCACAGGGCCGTATGGGGAGATGCCCCTGAGTTCATATGGAATCTCCGTCTGGTCAATGGTAAAGTTGGCAGCGCCAGAGTCGCTCGAAATGTCCAACTGGCGCTCCTCTTTGGTTTGTCCAGCAGCCAGGATGCTGAAAAATCTAGTTTCGAGAATGCTCAGATCGCGTTCTTCCTCGTCCAACATTGCCTCAAGAGCTTCATAGCTAGACTCCAGAACTTGATAGTCATCTCTTAGCTGCTGCATCTTCTCTAGCCGAGATTCAAACAGGCTGGCAGGGTAATCGGTTAGCTCTCGTAGGCTAACCAGCACAGGTCTGACAACTCCCATAAATGCATTATCAGCGGCGTCTTTCTCGCGCCTCTTTTCTCGCAACTCTTTTCTCCTTGATCGCATTTTTGCTCTCGTCCCACTCAGCTTGGCTCTTTTTTCCTTTAGCTGTTGCCACAGCATTTCTATTTCGCCATGCGATGAATCGTTAGAGTGAACAGAGCCATCCGGATGAGATTCGGTGTCGGTAGGATGGAGAACAGCAGAAATATCGCCGAGTCTTGAACGAGACCTCGTTGGGCTCCTCGACTTTTCGTAGTTTGATACCCAGGCTGTGATTTGATTTGCCGCCGAAGACCTACTCCGCGGGGCAGACGGTCCATATACTGGCCCAGCAGGTAGCTGAGGTGGAAATTGCCTAGCATTTCGATAAGCAATTGGGTCTTCGTTAGATGATGAAGAGGAAGAACTTGAGGTCTCATCATATCCAGACCTGGTGGATGAGAAAGTCAGCATCTCGTCTTCAAGCCCATCACTTCGCCGGCGGAGCGATCGTCTTGAGTTCCGTTTGCCCCTTGATGGTCTTGGCAATGTGTGACGGCTGCCTAGAAAGCCGAGCGCCGGCTGAGCTAAGAGTTGCATGCTGGCTGGTGTTTGTAAAATTAGAGAACATGGCGGTTCAGAGCCCTCGTCAGCCTGGCTATAGTCCACGCCACTTATCGTTGGAAGACGGGGAAAGTAGGAGAGAGGAGGAGAGCTGAGCGGAGGAGGAGGCGGCGGCGGCGGGTGAGGGGGGACATGGTATTGAGTTCCTTGACTGTCATCGGTCCTGTGCTGCCTGACTGGTGAGGGCAATGGCAGTGATGCTTGAGTAGAACCAGTACGAAATACCGGAGGTCGGAAAGGCCCATGCCGAGACTGGTCTGCCGAGCTCGGTGGATAGAGTTGGGCAGCTTCGTTGGGACTCCTCGGGACATATCGACCTGTTGCCCTGCCTGCGCCACGTCCTCTTCCTCGACCCCGCTCTGACCCTCGCTGGAGACCATGTGGCAGCGCGGCAGGCAGAGGAAAAATAGAAGAGAAGTCATTGGAAACTCTGCCAGGAAGAGGCGTTCGACTGCCAGTAGATGCAAAGGGCGTCAGTGGTGGGCTCGACACCACAGGGTCAGGAGTAGTGACCCTGCTGGATATCGTCGACGTATCGCTATGCAGCTTCCAGCCATCGCCCTCTTTCAAGTCCTCGTCTTCGTGAGACGACGCAGCGGCAGCGAACGTGACAGACGAGCTGTCTACCGAGTCGTCCATGTTACCGGTTTGGAGGGAATGGTCCAGAGGCGTGAGGCCTGGGCTGGCCGGCTCCTGGCGTACGGCAGATTCCATGAAGGGCGCTCGAGTACGCTGGCAGTCGCTCGACGCTCAGCATTTCCCATCCATGGCCATATCCCCGGCTCGATGACATCCAAAATCGCAGAGGCGTGATGGCCGGGAGAGGGGGAGAGGAGATGACGGTGCCCGAGGTGCCGGATCGAGGTCAGACGAGGCTCTGCTGTCCTGGGGATGACGGTGGGCGGCGGGAAGCGCACGGCTCATCTGTGGACATGAATATGCGTCTGCTCTGGGTCTTGGATTGGATTTGGCACCTACAGCGGCGAGACACTGGTCGCTCGACACGGCAGCCGGGACAGTAAGCCGGGACAGATGTTCGATTTGCGGCCACATATGAATTGCGCAAGTGGTGAGTGCGTCTTCTCGCAGCCCGTCTGGACGGTCAACGGCGTGGCAGCTCTCCTCCGCAAGGCAGCTCATGGCACCTGCCAGAGAATGGCCCAGCGTGCCATCGGTTGGCTGGAGCCCCTGTGGCCGCAGGTGCTAGCACAGGCCTCGGCGCCTCCCCCGGCACGCTAGGAGCGCTGAGCGCATCAGGAATCGCCCACAAGGTAGCGCGAGCCCACTGTGCCGCTAGCCCTACAGAGCTTGGACGAGCCGTGCGTCCACTAAAGGCGTAGCTAGCCCAGCGCAAACGATCCACTAGCCACGGGTTGCTCCAGCTGGGCGCTGGGGTAGCATCATTGAACGCAAGAAAGCTCTCGGGCGGTGGGGCTACCCGTTCCGAGCGGCGCCTCTCAGCAGCCTAAGGCGCTGTGCCAGCCCAAATTGGGCATGTCACTCTACCTCGACATCATCACCACCAAGGCGACCTGTTCCGCGTCCACGGGCCTCCACTCGGCGCAAATGACTGCATAAAGCACGCCGTGCATTGCGAGGATACGAGCAGAGGGCAGCAAAACCACCTGGCCGACGCTCAGCGCTGGGGCTCCTGCGGCCGTGCCACCTGACAGGGCCCTCGACCGAAAGAGCTGCAGGCCAAGATGCAGAGTGGAGATGGCACGACGACTCGGCGATCCCAACAGCTGCGCTTGGGAGGAGTTATCGATTTGCTGTAGGGGACAGGTCGGGAATGGACGAAGCAGAGCCAAGTTGGTACCGCTGCTATTGGTGGTTTGTGCTGGTTTGTGCTGCAGTCTGTCACCAATCCCAGATTTGCTCCGACTAATGGCAGCCCAGTGGCCAAGATAGTAAGGTAGCTCTAGTCGCTGACACCAGGCGTTGGCTCTGGCTAGCAAGTGGACGCATTTCGGCATGGCATGGGAGACCTTGAGCTCACAGGCACGAGAAAGTTTCGAGGGACGGGGAAAAAGAGAGCGCCTGGCAGCACACCACCTCCGAATCGGAATTTCTAGATCGTCCCATATAGCGCAAGGCGACCGCTGGACAGCAGGATGCGCACAAGGCGCCCGTTAGCCGGCTACCCATGTCTGCTGCTCTGCGGTCGATGGCATTGGCATTGCGTTTTGTACATAACGCTACGGCTGGGCCATTGACTTGATCGACCAGCTGCGGCAGCTCGACGTAGCTAAAAAAGCGGCGGCCAGCGATGCATGCCAGATGTCTCCATAATCCTATCCGCCAGCGCCGCCGCATGCCTTAGCAGCTCGCAGGTTAAATCCACTCAACCTTACAGCAGCCATCCATCCAATACCAAGATACCAGCAGGCCGGGGGAGCAGCTCGGGCCAGGAAGTGGACGGACGACCCACGTCGAGGCTCGCGCCAATCTAGGCCTATAGAGACAGACCCAAATGTTCCCCCTCCCGCCCGCTGCTGTTTTATCATCTCGCGCTGCTGGTGCTGGTGCTGCTGCTTCTGCTCCGTACGGGCATTCTTTAAAAGGCGTGGAAGCCCGCATTGCTTCCGTCCTGCAGAGCCTCCCCTTGCCTCAGCCTGCCACGCCAGAGGTGCTTTGCGCTTGTGCTCCAATCGTCTGGGCTCTCCCGGTCCTTTGCGCCGTCCAGCACATCGCCGGATGATTCTGTAGGTTTCCCGCGCTGCTCTGGGCGCAAAATGCCACAATGTACCACGGATCCAGTTCAGAATCCCATCAATGGGGCAGCTGGTCGGCTTGGGTTTTCAACGAGCAGCAGAGCCGCTACTATCGCTTTCGCCAGGATTCCGAAGGTGCGAAGACCCTCCCCCGCGCTTGAGATTTCTCATTATCGCTGCCAACACTTGCATGTGTACTTGCTAGGAAATTATGACTATGACTGGGACCAACAAGGCTCAGCCGCTGCCGCTCATGCGCAAACTCCACGAGACACAACGATCAGCGACATAACAGAAGGCCTGAGAGGTCTGACTACCGATTACAACGGCTCAAGTGCGTTTCATGCGTCGGCTCGTCGAGTCGCACTGGTTGCGCCAGAACGGGCTTCTCTTGAGCATCTTCTGGCGCCCATGTCTGGCGTGCTTATAATTGGCCACTGACATCAGAGAACTTTCACAGTAGCCGAAGACCGTTCACCGAACTCAAGATCCGGCAGGCACAGAAGCAGGCGCGAACATCGGACAGGCTCCCGCGACGAGGATTCGGCTCAAGACACCTACGGGACCTTTGCAGCAGATTCTTTACATGCGACCCAGGCGGGGCAGTACGGCTACACGGCTGGCCAATGTGAGCTGCGCTGCTGTTGAAACCACATTTCAAGTCACTGACGGCATTTCTACAATTAGATGTCCACGGATCGTCTGACGCTCAATATTATCAGGCATCGGCATCAGGTATATATACCCAAATAGTCATGAATTGACCGCCGACCGAACGACCAACTGACTGGTTTTTGTTGGCGGGGTAGACTCACAATCGGCAGCTGCATACGGCGGTGGACGGGGAGAGGGCCGATCAGCTGAGAATCATGCAGCTGGTGAGTGCGCCCACCATTGCTCATTTTCAACTCCCCCCTTGCACTTTTATCATTTTGTTCTCATATCCTCCCTCTAAGCCGCCCATTGCTTGTTCAATACTGAGACTTTCACGCAGATCAGCAAACCCATAGATACGGCGACGAGGGGCATTACAGTCCTGACCGAGATCCCGAAGACGAAGAATTGGCAGACACTATTGCGGCAAGCCGGCAGTACAACTATGATGAATATGCAAATGCTGGGGCATCATCATCAACAGCTTATGGTTTGTCTCTCGCCTGCAGTGGCTTACAAATGCTAGACTAACACGGAGCCTAGCTCCATATGACGAAGAGGAAGAGGAAGGCCCTCCTACGCCAAGAGCACAGTCAAGCGCCGGCAGCTATCACATTGCCGCCACTGCTCTCGAAGAGCCACCTGAGGAGTTAGATCCTCGTAAGTATTGTAAATGACCTTCTACGACCCACGTCAGTAAAGCTAATGCTTGAAAACTAGGCTACCAAGTTGAGCCGTCGGTGAGGTTTCAGCCAGGCGAGGTGCGTATATGCTTTAACCCATGTCAGCTAGTTGAATTGAACGACGCTGACTTTGAGAAAGATATTCAAAGTACATTGGTCAGAACCACAAGGCGCCAGCTCTGATGGAGCTCCGAGCGTTTCCGGCAAACATGAGATTCAGAACAGGTTCGGCACAAAGTTTTTTGTCGGATTTCGACGCTTCATTGTGATAGCAAATGACCAGGGCCACTGTACCTGCGTGTATGTGCATACTCGGTGCTTCATTATTTTCCAAGCCCCTCTGCTAATGAACCACAGACCTATCCTCACATACGGAGGCAAAGGGTGCAAGAAGAAGGGTGTCAAGGCCGATAAACACGGCATCATTTATGAGCGCGGCGGCAAACCGCGCCTACTCGATAAGGAACCAAAGCTTGGGTTCCCACCCGTCAGGGTCGATATGAAGCAAGAGGGCGAGAAGCTCTCCAAAGAATCTCGCGTCAATTACTCTAAGCTGGTCACTGTGGAACACAATGTGAAGGTGTTTTTCATAGGATCAATCGTGTATAACGACTGGGAACTCGTCAGCGATGCCGTCAACCACTGCTGGAACAAAAAGAACCATCAGAAGCAGAGGCATCGATAGAATCCAGAGAAAACTGATGGCTAGCAGAGACACGTTTTTACCACCTTACACGCAGTCGCGCATTTAGCGCACCGCATTCGACATGATGGAGTTGCTTTGCAACAGCAGTGCATCCATCTACAAAAATACGTTCCTCGGAAAGGGTGCATCTTATGATGTCACAAATTCCTGTGAATCCTGTGCCGGGCGATCTTGGTATGAAAGAAGCAGCACGGGTAAGCACTTCCGGCACCCGGATCTGCCTTTTCAACATCGCATTGCAGCCATATCCCGGCACACGTCTTTTCTTCGGCACCTCGTTACTATGCAGCGTCTGACTAGTTTCCTTTCGAGCTTTAGGAGCATGAATGGAAGCGTGAAACATGCGCCGTATTGATGGGGGCTTTTGCATTTGCGCGCATTGGTCCACGTGGTGGAACAGGACACATTAATTCCTTGGCTAGCCGGGCGGGCTAGATCATCACCGAGATGCAGATATCTATTTCGCTTTCTATATGACACTGGATGCATTGGTGGGCATATATCAAGTGTCTTGTTTTGTCTTATTTTTTTCTTCATGGCATATATTTTGATGTATCATCTCAATGCATGTTGTCGAGCTTGTACCCGTGAGGCGAGGGCCTAATGTTGCTATTGAGTTTTGAGAGGGAGATTGATTGAGCATGATTTGACGTCTACGGGGCTTTAAGATACCAAACCACCACCATATATATGCATATGACTCTAGATTCATTATAAAAAACGGGCGCCCACTATATGAAACGGAAGACAGAAGACGGCAAGGCAGAAGAAACGCATGGGATGCTATGCGTGAAGGATAACCAGCAGGTAGCTGTATAAGTGAAGAGTAATGAATGACTACCAGTAGCTTCGGAATGGCAAATTAACGGCCTTGTAGTGTTAGGAGTTGAATCCTTACCCCATCGTATCTCACCCTCAAGCACCCGTTGGCTTAAGAAGCTGACACGGCAATCTTGCGGTGTAAAAAGTGCCATTATACTTTACACTACGCGTGCACTCCTTGCCTATTTCTAACCCATCGACCTATGAGCATAAAGCATCACCGCCATCGATAAATCATAGCGCCATACTTGGCAGTTTTGGCAGATCTGAATTACCCCATACACTAAATGCCGTATATAGACAATGATGCTGCTAGCGGTTAAAAAAGAAAAAAAGCCCGATCAAGTTATTTTTTTGCCTCGGCATCTCCCCGCAGTTTCAATCATCTCCGAAAGTACCTCGCCCGCCAGAAATGGGTGATGAAGGTACCTGCGCAAGACCCCTGGTTCTTAATTAGTGTCCACTTTGTTGGCCCCAACTACACCGAGGATCTTGGGGAAGGGCCTGAAAATGCGGGAGAGATTTTGATTCTCTGGCTTGTTTTAGCTGTATGAGGTAAAGTGATAAAGGCCACCGCTTTCTCTCATCTTTTCTCCTTCTTACTTTTTTTCTCTTTCGTGTGAATATTCCCTTTCTTCTTTTGGATTTTTAAAACATATATTCAGCTGTTTATACTGCCTAGGTACCTACCTAATTGATCAGCTATTACGGCTTTCTTTGTATATTTGTATCTCCCCTTTAAGAAAAGAAAACAAGGAATATCAACAACTCACCACAATGTCTGCCGCTGTCGAGGCCGACCTCAAAGACTTCCATTCGCTCTTCTCGCTCAAGGGCAAGGTCGCCGTCGTAACCGGCGGTTCTCGCGGCCTCGGCCTGCACGCAGCCTCGGCGTGAGTTTCCATGCTCTCCGTGTCAACTTCAGCAGCACTTACTTACATATATATATATATATCCAGCTTCATCCAAGCTGGCTGCTCCAAAGTCTTCATCTCATCCCGCAAGGCCGCCGCCTGCGAAGAGGCCTGCAAGGTGCTCAATGCCCTGCCCGGCCGCAGCCCCGGCGCCGAGGCAATCTCCGTGCCGGCCGACTCGTCCACCATGGACGGCGTCAACGCGCTGCTGGCCGCGGTGAGCAAGCACACGGACCGCGTCGACATCCTCTTCGCCAACGCGGGCGCCACCTGGGGCGAGGCGTTTGACACGCACCCGGACCAGGCGTTTGCCAAGGTCATGGACCTCAACGTCCGCGGCGTCTTCAACACGGTGCGCGTCTTCACGCCGCTGCTGCAGAAACACGCCTCGCTGGACGACCCGAGCCGCGTGCTCATCACGGCGAGTGTCGCGGGCCTGGGCGTGGGCACGCTCGGCAAGCAGGGCACGTATGGCTAGTAAGTCATATACACAGCACAGCGCCGCATACATATACTGACAAATTACTGCAGCTCTGCCTCCAAGGCGGCAGTTTTGCACCTAGGCCGCAATCTCGCGCTGGAGTTGGGCCCGCGCGGCATCACGGTCAACTCCATCTGCCCGGGCTTCTTCCCGAGCAAGATGGCAAATGGCCTGCTGGCCATGTCTGGCGGCGCGGATAAGATTGCACAGGCGAATCCCATGCGCAGACTGGGCCGGCCGGAGGATATTGCGGGCATTGTGGTGTATTTGACGAGTCGTGCTGGATCGCATGTGAATGGTGAGGCGATTGCGATTGATGGCGGTGCGTTGTGGTCTCGTGGGGAGTTGCTCGTCGAGGAGCAGTCGAAGTTGTAGTTTCACTTTTGCCCTTTTTGTTATCTTGTTACGATTCAGCATCACTGGAGGTCGAGAAATTCTGTATGATAGGATGGTCATTACCACGGCCTTACGAATATTGCATTAAGCCAAGTAGATATAGTGTCAATCTGTTCCCTGCTTGCATTATATGCATTTACACATGTGTACGCTTCATACAGTACAATCACAAGTGTTCCTTCAGTCGCTCTTCTCTATTATTTCATCATATGTCATACCGTCGTTTCTCTAGTTTCGTTCTTCACCAGCGGCTTGCGAGCTACCCAGGTCGTCGCATTATATACCATATGCAACATGCTATCCATGTCTTGAATGTACGGCGCCCTGACGCCCGTCTCCATCGTCTCTACTACAAATCCCAACTTCTCCACCAGCGCCATGACCTCATCGTTGGTCAACTCAAAGCTCCCAGGGTCGGCAATGCCAGATGAGTTGTTAAGGTCATGTTCGCCGTCACCGTCATCATCGTGGCCATGATTGCCTGGCGCGTCGTTTTCAAAGTGCCACAGTAAGGGACCAACGTTGATGAGGACGCCGCCTGGGCGAAGGCAGTGGTAGATGACCTCGAGGTATCGAATGAGATTGGGTGCCGTGTCGAGGAAAAACACACTGGCGACGGCATCGTAGGATTCTTCGTGTTCATCATCGCCGTAGAGGCAAAGGAAGTCTGCGGCACACATAGACATGGAGCCAATGTTGGAAGCGTCGAGCAGGGTGGTGCCAGGGTGAATGTCTGGCACGGGGTAGCTTCGCAGGTGATTCTCTCGGCTTGTGTGATTGGAAAATGTGTGGATCCAAGGGTAGAGGGTGTGCTGTCCAGCGCTGTGGCACTCATTGAGAATATACGATGACGCTAGTAGCTGGTGATAGGATATTTCATTTCCTTCGGTGTCATAGCCGTCTCGACATAGTTCAAAGACTAGTCTTCCTAGACCCGCTCCGGGGACAAGCACTTTCAAACGGCTGTCTTGCGACGTCTTGGCCCTCTCTTGATCAAGGGCTTTCATCACAGGTCCGTATGATACTGCCCTTTCCTCCGCACCAGCTGCGGACCAGTCCCGGTAAAATTGGCGAAGAGTGCTCCTTGCCTTGTCAATGTCGGCATGTTTGGCTATTCCAGCCCACTCATGCGGCATGACAGGTTGATCCGACTCTGAGAAGTTGGGAGGAAGAGCATTAAACGAAGCCAGTCCCGATTTCAGAATGGACCGAGCCAGGTCGGCATTGCTGTCGATAGCATCATCGACTTTCTCCAGAGTGTCGAGGAAGTTGAAGGGAGGCGCTGCGAGTAGCTTCCAGTGAGCCTGAGGGAGGGCATAGAAGGACCGGCGGCGAAGATGAGTGACGTTGAAGTGGGCAACTTTGGCATATTGGCTGGAGAACGTTGTTAGCCGGAGGTCTTTGTCCTAAATCAGGCGATATACAGCGTTAAGATTACTGCCTGTCGCGAAAAAAACTCCGGCTGCTTCAGCTAGAGACATCGTCATCCTCGCACTGCAGGAAGCACAGGATATCCATCCGCAGCAGCTATAAAGCGTCATTGAGACTGAATACATGTGGATAGAACTCCTGTGACTCCCGCAGTATGAGGAAGACGATGTTTGTAGCTGGAGCTGCTGGAGATTTCGCGACAGGCAGTCTGGAAGACTGCGGGGAAGCTGAGTATGATGAGTGAGTGTCGTATGTGAAACAGCTCATGATAAACATACAACCATAGCCATGGAACAAGATCTCCGCCGTTCAAGCTGCCAAATAGCAGAGCAAGCACAAGACAGCTAAAAACTAAATCCACTTACGCAAACGAATCCAAGGCACAGAAGATGACCCGAATCTCTTCAGGATCGTCCATGCCGCCATCTACACTGGCCCATGCGCTCTTATCATCCACCTCCAGCGTGGCTCCGCCATCGTGATCCATCTCTCTCAGCCTGGCTCAACGACGATATTCCCCAAGCATGGCCGGTGGAAAAGTGAGGAAAGCGTCGAAGAGAGGCGTAAAACGATCTGGTGAACAGAGTTTCTGTCTTTATTTTTTCCGGATCGCCGCAATCGGGCGTTTTTCTGGATCCCTTTGAATTTGTAAAGAGCTGCTTATTAGTGGGGGAATATGTTTTTCGAGCAGCGCTAGCCTAGCAGCGAGATCTCTCACCAAAACGGAATCATGTGATTTTGGCGTCTCACAACAGCCATTCAGATAGTTGAGATAAGGCGTCGTCTTTCAATCCCACTTAATGATATCTCCAATATAAATCATACATAGCTTATTTACCATGGCTACCGGCCAGAACGAAGTGGTGCAAGTTTCTATTCCGCTCCCGCGGTCCTTGGATACTCGCATTTTCATCCGCTTGGCAACTCAGGCCAAAGCACTTGTGCTATCTCTCACCACCGCATCTCAAGAAGAGCTTGGTGCTCCCAGACCGATGGGATCATTTGTCTACGCACTGCCCGACGTAAGTCCCGAATCTCTGTGGCTCTGCATTTCTATTTTATGGCTGGCGATTGTTGACTCCAAGGACAGAGATTCAATCCTCAGCAGGCAATCGCCACAACACTCTTCTCCGCCGAGTCATCTCTTGAGTTTACTACACGGGTTGCCAAATTAGTTGCCCGAAAGACCCAGCTCCCCGTATATGTCACGAATTCCATCAGCCTAGAGAGCACAGGCATGGGCGGCACAGTCGAGGAGGAAATGGAAGCCTTCAAGGGCGTGGCCGAAGCTATCATAAGCAACCTCCCCAAGACGGCGTCGCCCAGTTAACCACAATTTCTAAAGGGATGAATAGATATTTATAAATAATTCAAGGTGGCAATCCGGCAGAGCAAAGATTTGTAATGCAGCGCCAATGTGCTTGCGCATCTGTACAGGATGGAAAGCATGCTCGGTCCATCACCAGAGAGAACTCCAATTTACAGCGAGGTCTTACCCTATAATATCCAGTCTTTTGCTAGAGGTTCAATTAAGAGAGATTCCAGAAAAACTTAGAAGCTAGGGACCAGCGCACATGGACGAGCTTCAAGGCTACAGCACATCATTTCGGCCTTGTTTATGAGTTATGAGAGAGCAGGCACTTGAGTCTAATCTGCAGCGGCCTTGAAGAATCACAACGTTGATCTACAAAGGGCAGCTCTTTGATTGACTCTGGCTCATGTACGCATGTACATGCTACATGAAGCTTCATTATCCATTTGATCCCAGCGCTTGCTCCAGCAGCATACCTCATAACAGAGCGAACATTAAGCGTTGTGCAATTGATTGGATTCATTAATTCAATGCATGGAATTTGCGGTGTGCACATCGAGTTCGTTGAGTCCTCCATACGGCTGTTACAGGCACCTCAGTCTCACGTTTCGCGTGCTTGATTCGTCTGACTCTCCGCATGTTAAAGGCACACACAAAGCAGCACCAGTCTCTCACCAATTTTCGGTGGCTGAACCGCACGTCAAAATACTACTTGCACGGGGTGATACAGTAAGAACAAGAATACCACTTGTAGCTCCTCGCCATATGCATTGTCGCAGTTGATAGTCAGCTGATTTGTCCCAGCATTATTTCCGTACTGTAGACGAATTTTTCCTACGTCTCCGTTTTTTTCGCCATTGCCAGTCCGCGTCACGGGTTATCGTTATCGCACCCCGCTAACAGAAATTTGGCCGCCAGAATGAGGTGGGCTTGCTCCCCGCCAAACCAGACCACCTGAGGGCGCACAAGGTTTGGCGCATCGTCTCGCTCTCGACATCGCCGAGATCCTGCTGCGTTTGCGTGCTGCAAACAATCGAGCTTCGGCTACTCCTGAGCGCCTGGCTCTGCGACCCCCAGACCCGCCTCTGGTAAGAATCCCCGCGGCTGCGCTGTTGCCAACCTCGCCTTCACCTCCAGTCCGACTCAAGGGCCAATTGTGCCGGTTCCCTGCTCCCGTACGCCCTGTCGCCGCTTTGCTACACTGTACATGTGCCGGTTGCTGGCTTCGAGTATGCTGACCTCTCGCTGAATGTCTCTCTAGCCACCGCTTCATGTCCTAGAACATCTCGACTAGGAAACGCCCCCTTTCGCGCATCGCATTGCTCCTCTCGCGCAGCAACAGCTGCCAATACTCTGTCCATCATGTCGTGGCAACCGGCCCCGGAGTCGTTGAGCCAGCTTGCGGCATGTCTCAAAGACTCCCTCAGCGGCTTCGACAAGACTGCCCAGAAGCAGGCTGAGCAGGTCAGTTGAGATCTAGAAGAAACTCGTTTGTTTGTGTCACGGGATTCGATACTGACTGGGGTGTTGGGGGATTCAGATGCTTCAACAAGCTAAAGCCTCGCCTGACATTAACAACTATCTAGCATACATTCTCTCCAGCCCCCAGGTCCCCGAGGGCCTGCAGTGCAGCGAGCAAGACTATCATCTCGTTCGATCAGCCGCTGGTATCATGCTGAAGAACAATGTCAAGACAGAATGGAAGACGATCCCTGAGTCCAGCCTACAGCTCATCAAGCTCGCCGTCCCCATGTGCTTGCAGGATAAGAATTCGCAGATTCGAAACTTTGCCGGAAACATTGCCACTGAGATGATTAGAAAGGGCGGCTTGCTGGCGTGGCCAGAGCTGCTTCCTCAGCTTCTCGACTTGATTTCCAACGAAAATGGCCAATCTTCCAACGAAGCTCAAGAGGGTGCAATGTCTGCCATGTCCAAAATCTGTGAAGACAACTTCAAACTTCTTACCAAGGAGATCAACGGCCAACGGCCGCTGAACTATGTCCTTCCTAAGCTGATTGCTGCAACCAAGAACCCCCTTCCCAAGGTTCGCGCCGGAGCGCTGACCGCAATCAACGTCTTCACACCGAGATCATCACAGGCCATGATGAACAGTGTCGATGACCTGCTCCAGCACCTCTTTATCTTGTCAGGAGATGAGAACACCGATGTCCGCCGGCAAGTGTGTCGAGCCTTTGTTCACCTGGTTGAGACCCGGCCCGACAAGCTACAGCCTCATATTACCGGACTGGTAGACTACATTATCAACCAGCAGAAGAGCGACGATGAAGACCTAGCCTGCGAAGCTGCGGAATTTTGGCTGGCCGTCGGTGAACACGATGAACTCTGGGGCTCCCTGCAGCCGTACCTCAACAAAATTATCCCCGTCTTACTTCAGTGCATGGTATACAGCGGGGAGGATATCGCTCTTCTCGGTGGTCTTTCAGATGACGAAGATGAAGAAGATCGGGAGGAAGACATCCGGCCGGCATTCGCCAAGAAAGCTTCAGCAAGAAATGCAAACGGCGAGGGAAACCCTTCAGCCGACCCTAACCAGAATGGCGGCGGTGCCTACGAGAAGCTTGCGCGCATGGATGAGGGGGTGGAGGAAGGCGAGGTTGACGATTTTGACGATGGGGATGATGCGAATCCCGACGAGAAATGGACTGTCAGAAAGTGCTCAGCAGCGGCACTGGACGTCTTCGCCCGCGACTTTGGCGGGCCTGTGTTCGAAGCTATTTTCCCATACCTCTCCCAAAATCTCAAGCACGATGAGTGGCCCTACCGAGAGGCCGCCGTCCTGGCTCTTGGTGCTGTAGCCGACGGCTGCATGGATACCGTTACTCCTCACCTCCCTGAGCTGGTACCGTATTTGATTTCTCTGCTTGAAGATCAGGAGCCGGTTGTCAGACAAATCACCTGCTGGGCTCTAGGACGGTACTCATCTTGGGCGGCTAATCTCTCTGAACAGTCTCAACGAGAGCAGTTTTTCCTGCCAATGATGGATGGTATCCTGCGCAAGATGCTGGATAAGAACAAGAAGGTCCAGGAGGCAGGTGCCTCGGCATTCGCGAACCTGGAGGAGAAGGCCGGCAAGAGGCTGGAGCCGTACTGCGGCCCCATTGTCCAGCAGTTTGTTCTGTGCTTTGGCAAATACAAGGATCGCAACATGTATATCCTTTACGACTGTGTTCAGACGCTGGCCGAGCGTCTGGGCCCCGTCATTGCCAAACCTGAATTGGTAAACCAGCTGATGCCAGCGCTGATTGAGAGATACAATGTTGTCTCTGACCAGTCTCGCGAACTCTTCCCGCTCTTGGAGTGTCTTTCCTATGTTGCATTAGCTCTTGGCCAATCTTTTACTCCCTATGCGCCCACAATCTTCCTACGATGCATCAACATCATCCATACGAACCTTGAACAGGGCATCAACGCGAATACTAGCGATGCTGTGGATCAGCCCGATAAAGATTTCCTCATCACAAGCCTTGACCTCCTGAGCGCCATTATCCAAGCGCTCGAAGACGAAAAGTCAATTGAACTGGTCAAGAGCTCACCGCATCCCTTCTTTGAGCTCCTCAGCTTCTGCATGGAGGACCCCACGGACGAGGTGCGACAATCTGCCTACGCTTTACTCGGCGACTGCGCCAAATATGTTTTCCCGGAGCTTCAGCAATACGTCTCCACCATTATCCCCATATTGTTGAGGCAATTGGACATGGATAGTATACTTGACGAGGAAATCGAAAGCGGGTTTGGCATCGTCAACAATGCCTGTTGGTCAGCCGGCGAGATTGCCATGCAACACCTCAAGGGCATGCAGCCTTGGCTACCAGAGCTCCTTCAGCGCTTCGTAGAGATCATGACCAATCCCGGTGTGCCCAAGGGCCTTACCGAGAATGCTGCCATTGCCCTGGGACGTCTTGGCCTAGGCAACGCAGAGCAGTTGGCGCCCGCACTACCAAAGTTTGCGGAGGAATTCTTGGTTGCGATGCAGGAGGTTGATCCAACAGAGGAAAAGGCAACAGCATTTAAGGGTTTCACCTTGATTGTTGGACAGAACCCCCAGGCCCTGGAAAAGGTTTTGTTGAACTTTTTTGTTGCAATCGCGCGATACCAAGACATGAACTTGCGGAATCCCATCAAGCAAGAGCTACACGACGTGTTCCGAAATGTAAGAACAATCCCGGGGCTCATCTATATCCCCCTTTTGTGATTCATTCCTTTGAACATGCTGTGATACTAATCCTCTCAATGCAGGTTCTGAACGTCTACAAGCAAATCATCCCACAGTTTGACAACTTTATTGCCCAGCTGCAACCCCAAGACCAGCAGGCGTTGAAGACTCTCTATTCGATATAAGAGCAGTGACCAGTCTGCGTATTGTGGTTGCAATGAGAACAGAAAACGAGCAACAACTGAGCTGGAGAAGGAATTTGAAAAGTTAACGCTGGATGCAGAGGAGAAGAGATGATCTCTTAAAGCGATTTTCTAACGGAACTAACTTGATACGCAGAGGTCGCTTGTGTTGCTGAGGCCCAGTGAGGAGAATATAATATTGTTTGAAACTCATAGCGATACTTTTACTGCCCAGCAGCTCCATAGGAAAGGGCTACGCACGGTTGGATTGGCTGAATGACGATTGGAGCTTGCGGAAATATGGAGGGCGCAATTAGCAAAAGAAGAAGAAGAAAACCAGAAATAACAAAGCGCGTGCTCTGGAGTACCGCAAGCGGATGAGATACCTTTTTTTTTTGGAACGATGTGATGAATGGAAAAGAAGAATACTAAAAGAAGAGATAAAAAACCAAAGCATGGAGGAAAATACGGGAAACACAGGTGTCTTGAGCTTTTTAGGAGGGCTTTTCTTGGGGGCTCCAAGCCCATATTCACCTTTTATAGATAGATTTTTTTTTGTTATACTTTACTCCCTTTTTTATCTCCCTCTTTTTATTTTCACCCTCAACCATATTCTGCATATATACAGAGTGGTGGGGGGAGAACTGAAAAATATGCCGTGCTGCGTTGCCTTTTGCGTTTGCCGGCGGTCCATAGTAGTAGTTAGTAGTTAGAACCAAAATACAGAAAGGTGGCTTTTATTTAAGTCAATGATGTGAGAGATGGGGATGGTGTTATTGCATGTATACTTGAGCGAGTTGTCATGTTGGAAGTATTGTTGCAAGAATGCATTCTCATTTCTGTATCATATCTGGAGTAGACAACTATAGTTGTAGAATAGGGAGAACATGAGTATATCAAGTAGCAAGACACTTTGTGTTCTAAGAGAAGAAGAGAATTCCTAGCTCCAAAACTGTCTTGGGGGTTTACGAGCCGATGGATAGACTTCAATACCAGCCTACCATCAGAACGAACGATGAAGTGACTTTTGTCTTTCGAGAATGTGCGAAACTGCGCAGCTGTCGGCTTGTATCTGCACGAGACTCTAATATCTACCTAGATCTCTTCATTAGAAAACCCAAGTGCTAATATCTCAGCTCCCCAAGGAAAAAAGACACGAAATTTCGTACA